GTCTCATAGAAATGGAGGATTCCCCACCATGTGTCTGGAACCATGACAAGATCGAGGCAAAATTTATTTTGCAGTCTGGATCTAGACAGAAGCTGCCATTTGGTAGTCCTTGAATGACCCTGTCCTGGAATGCTGCAGTTATAGGTAAAAGCCATCAATTTACAACCTTCTCCTTTCCGATTTTTTAGAAGCTGCTCATTTGGGGACATAAATTTTCACTTCAGATGTTTTTGATAGAGCAGCTAAAAGTTAGGTCAATTCTGTTTGCCAATAAGATATGGGGAGAGACTTTTCCTTCCTGGCTTCAAAAGCATGAAGAGGTTTTTCTTTTAATGTGTTTTGGTATGTATAGTGATTATCAAGTCCTATAAGAAAATTAGATCCATGTAAATAAAACATTAAAAAAATGAAAATATAATAATTCACTAAGACACTAGAGAAATCTCTGCATATCTGTCGAAATAAGTCACTATCATACAAAAAATCCCAACAGCTGCCTTCCATTTGTTGGCGGTATCACTAAAGGACATAAGACGCTAGTGATTAATTCAGTCTCAAATGATTTCACAGATATGGCAGTTCAGATCTTAAATAATTTCATAAATATGAATGTGATTCTATTGATTCAGTCAACATAATGAACTGAAGTTCAACATTCTTTATTGCTTACAGACAAACAGCATTATCTCTGATGGAGACTTGAAAAGCAATGAGATAATATCTTAATTTTCTCAAAAACAATCAGAAATCTCAATTAAAAAACTATATTATTTTTAATATTTTTTTTTCTAGAAGAGATGAAATTACATCATTTTGATACAGCTAGGAAAAAACATAAATATTGTATGTTTTAAATTTCATATTCCTAGAGGAGAACTTCAGATTACTAAATATTTCAGAAGCCATTTATTCTTAGTAGTCAGTTTGTATTTCTTTAAACCCAGGCAGAAAAGCAGGCATCCTTCATCTGTGATAGCTGTTAGGAACCAGTAAACTGATTTACTAGTGACTTATTTTCATGACTGATAGCAGAAAAATGGTCTCACCCTACACAGAGGCACACACAACTAACAATCAGTTAAGGGATTTTCCTGACCATTGCTTTGGGAAAAAGGCCCTACATGTCTAAGCTTTCTCACTTACAAGCTCCAGTAACCCTTTCTAACAAAACTGAAGAGGCTACAACCTCGGGTGCTGAACCTGGTGTTCTACTGAAGGTTAATTCCCTGTTAGGAGCAGTAGAACAGTTGCTCAGCGCTGGCAGTTCACAGCCTCTGGGTTAAAAGAAACCGCATTGATTTGGGTTCTTGTTCCTCCACGGGGCCGCAGAGTAGTTGCGTTGCCAGGGCTGTTGCCTCTACATGGGAGCGGCTATCTGATAGAGCTTTGGAAAGTTATGGATGGTACCTGCTGTGTTGTCTGGACTCAAATCATCGTCCAGCGCATTGAAGCAAAGAAACAGCTGAAAGACTGATAACCAAAAGAAATAATTCATCAAGTAGGGAAGCACAGGTAGTGTAGCCCAAGGAGAAAGTTATTGGGTTAAAAATTAACCAAAATACTTTCGGAAGTGCAATGAAAGAAGAACTTATTTCTCTTGTTAATTCTCCTTCTGTTCAGGAAAGCAGGATTTTCCACATAAGCATCATTGCTTCAAAGGAGCATGATTTCATCCACAAAAGGCAATCAAAAGAACCCTTCAGGGCTTCAAATTTTGGCTAAGCTTTCAGGTTTAAAAAATGATAATATTATTTTGGTTGACGTAGACTTATCTTTTTCTTCAGGTACATAAAACTCTGGCTTAAACACTGTATTTGAAAATAGCCAAACTGACATTAGGAATCTGTTTAAAGTCAATGTAATGGCTACGTATTTTGTTTTAGAAGTACTTTATTTGCACCTTGTTACTTTTTTAAAAAAATATTTAGACATCTACCACATGTGAGTCTATGCATCGTTCAGAAACTTCACTTGATGTATAAAGGATTCAAGGTCTATGTAATGTTAGAGAAAAAACAGTCTGGATCTATAGTAGGTAGAAGTGGCTTGGAAATTGTATGGAATATTAAGTTAGAAAAACAACAGCAAACCATAGAAAAAACATATTTTACCCTAAAAGAACATTACCAGTAACATTCCTGAGTATTAATTTTCTGATAACTCTGGGCTGTTCTTGCAAGTTACAGTCTGATGTATTAAGAAAAACTGAACTTTGCGCTGGTCATGCTTAATATACTGTGCTGCAATCTGTAATAGTTCAGCTCCTTCACAGGGAGCTGAGCTTTACTTCCAGTGGGAGCACCAGCTTCTGAGAGAGGGATGAGAGGTACCCCGAAAAGCCATTCTGGCTACAGTGGTTCGCTGAATAGAACCCACTGCTGCAAAAGAAGGGTACTTGATTACCTAGTCTGTAGGAAATTAACACATTTGCTGTCTGTGATCTCAGGTATATCAGCTGTCTGATACAGAGATGGAAAGAACTGGGCATTCTATGGCATCTATCTGTCCTTCATCTCTTCCATCAACAGCAGTTTTACTGGAGTTTTTTTATAGTCCTTAAGAATAAGGAAAAAATATTTCTAAGTATGCTTCCTAAAGATCCATTTCCTTAGAAAATTGTTTTCAAATCTGTTCTAATTAGTGTGAAATCAAAATCTTACCTTGTTTTAAGTTTAAATAATATGAACTTTAGGATATACTCATGATTTTTTTTTGTCTAACTTTCCATTAAAAATGAACCAAATTCAAATTTCCATGATTGACTCTTAAGTAGTTACTTCCAAGTGGTTTTCAATGTGTGTATAACAGTTAAAGAGAGGTGAAATAATCTCACTACATGTAGATATTAAAATACAAGTACTTTAAGACTCGAGGAAATGAACACTCTGCCTCTGCACAACTATATATATTTTTTAGACAAGAGAGACTGATGCCTGCAGTTGAAACAACAGTATTAGAGAAATTCAGGCCAGGAAGAATGGATCTAATCTAAAGCCCCTGAAATCAATGAGAAGCTTTGCTTTAACTCCTCTAGGCTTTGGCTCCAGCCCCAAGTAATTATTCAAGTTGGACTTTGGCCACTGATACTAACGCCATCTGCTTACAGGAAAGTACCATGAAATCTTTAATTAACTCAAATCGTGCAGGCCTCAGTTCTATGACTTATCTAAAAAATGGCACCTTTGAGAGGGCACTGTTGGTGTGTACCTTGCTGAGGACCTCATTCCCTGCCATCTCACGGGGGAGCGTGTCATCTACTGCGTTGCCAGCACTACCTTTTCCACATATGGCCAAGTTTAAAAGCCATTGATTTTCCAATTGAAGTTCATACGCAAGTATATGAACCAGGTTTTATTTTTATTGATGGTGTTGGATAAAACTAATAAATATGCAGCAAATACATGGAAAGGGGGAAGTAAGAGGGTTTTGTTTGCTAAAATAGAATTTTAAAACAAAAAAATAAAATACATACAAGGGGAAAAAAAATATATGTGTAAAATGTCTACCTAGAGAGCAGGATAGTCTTTCAGTTCAGAATTGGATTTCTCACTATTTAACTATTTTCATCTTTTCACAGAATCACTGAGGTAAAACGTTTAACCTTTCTCTTCCTCAATTTCCCCATCTTTGAAATGGTGTTAATGCCAATTGATCTGGCAGGAGTTTCCAATCCTGAAATACTGATTTGAAGTGTTCAAAGGGGAGATAGTATATCAGTCTACGAAACCTTGGCATTATTGCACACCATCTTATGGCCTGGCTAGTCCCACGTGCTGTGCAAGACCGTTGCTTTTTTACACACCACTGTTGTTAGGCACCAGCTTTGCAGCACAGGCCACTTCACCGAGACTGAATAAGGCGTAGTCCCTTTTGTACCTATAATTCACATTTTCAAGCCAAAAATGAAAAAGTTGTGTCTGTCACCAGACGATGAGTGTGTCTGGAGGACTTAAATATTGTTTCCTTATTGTAGGGATTAATGAAGTGCTGGCCCGAGCCCTGCACAGCACTTAAGGACATGTTTAACTTTAAGAATCTGAGTAGACTGATGGATTTCCATGGGAATACTGATGTGCTTAAAGTATGTGTTGTTGGAATGAAGTCATATCCTTCAGTAACGTGTGGGGTCATGCTACTTTTATTTGTGAAAGTGAAGGAACACTCTCAGATGTTACTCCTTCTACAGGGAATCTCCTGGTTGTTCCAAGACTGGGATCCTCAAATGTCTTGTCCTCCCGTTTTCTCAGTCCAGGCTCATATATGTGGTCTGTCTGCAGTATACACAATCAAGATCTGCACTGATGTTCTAGCATTAATTGTTTTCCTGTTCTGAGCCAAAAATAAATTCACTAAAACATGACTCTAAACAACTGACTTCAGTAGCACCGATTTTTTTTCTTTTTTCTAATAATTTTATCTAGTAACTTTTATGTATGTAGATACGAAAATCAGGTAATTCTCTACCAAAAAAAATAATCTTAAGCAAACATCTCCCTTGCCCCAAACCTCTAGGCAGCTCAAAAGGCAGTACCTCATGGAGGAAGGGCACAAGCTCTTTCCTTCCAGGGTTCTGCCTTGCTGTCTTAGGTGAGCATCTGGATCAGATCACGACACTGAACAAGATTGTCCGCCTCCGTGTGCCATCTCTGGGGCATTCTTTGGCAGCCTCCCAGATACAGCTTGAGTCAGGGGTAACACCTGCAGTTGCACAGACCTTTGCAGTCAGAAGGAATGTGCTGTGTTCACCTCTCAGTAGACAGGATGCTCTGTTAAGTTATTTGCATCATGACTTTCTTCTGCTGGTGCCTACTCTGCCATTTGTCTGAAAGCTTCATACTTTCTTTAATAGAATTTACCAAACGCATTGTGTAAGGACAATAGTGCTGTTATTACTGTGTATGTTTAAAAGGAATACAATGTGCAAAAGTGGACTTTCTTGATACAGAAATGCTTAAAATTGCTATTGTAACTTACATTATCATGGGGTTTTTGTTTTGCAGTTTTACTAAAGAATGCGAAAAAGGAGGAAGAAAAGCCTTTCAGAGACTGTGCAGATGTATACCAGTCTGGTTTTAACAAAAGTGGGGTCTACACTATTTATATTAACAATGTGTCAGATCCTAAAAAGGTAAAGTAAATTTTTGGTTTATTTTCTTATTTGTTAACATGATGTTATTGTGGCCTTAAAGGAGCATTTAAAGCCTTTATTGAAGTTCTCGTTCTGCAAAATGTTGTACTGGTATAAATAACCTGGTTTGTATTCATTCTTGAAAAAAATACAGTTGAGTGAATAAAATGATAAACTGTATTATTCCAGACATTCCTCTTTCTCACTGACAGAGAATCCTTCCTAAGTTCCAACATACATTCAATAGTTGACTCACTTCCTCCCAATTGGCAAGTTCAGTTGAATCAGACTATGACCGCAAATAAATCTGCGATAAAGTTTAGAAGAGAATTAGTAAAGCGCTATAATGAGAAAGCTGATGGCAAGATTATCTGGTAGCACAGGGAAAGAAATAGCAGAATGAGCAGTTTTTAAAGATAAAGATTTACAAAAATCCTCTTCTCTTGTAGGGAGCAGGGAAGAGTTTTTTTGGCTGTAAATAACAC